TCTCTGCCCCTCCCCGGCTCACACACTCTCTCTCTCTCAAAAGTAAATAAACATTAAAAAAAAATTTTTTTTTAAGTTAAAAGTTTAAGTCGGATGCTTAATCAACCAAGCCACCCAGGCACCCCAACACACAACTGTTCTCAATGGAAGCTTTCACACGAGACCACCAATCACAGGAGCTGAGTCACCCCCAACCCCTGTAACACGACATCAGGGATTTGCTTCAACCACCGGAATGGGGGAGGGTGGTGGGAACACAAGAGGACACCAGAATGGCCGTATGTTGGTAAAACTTAAGATGGGTGGTGGATACGGGAAGTTCACTGCATCATTCTTTCCACTTATGTACAATTGAGATTTTTTACAGTTTGAAAAAAATAGTACCTTGGGGGGGGTGGGAACAGTCATGCAAATTATTATAAAATTCCCTGGGGATTTCTACGGCAGCATGCACACACAGGATACCCAGTAACACCGTCCCGTGATCACTGCCCGTCCTGCCGAAGGGCCCGCTGCCCCAGGCTGTTCTGAGAGGTCTGTCTCCGTAGTAAATCGCAGCAGGCTTCCGCAAGAACTGAGATCAGCTTGGTCAGTCTCTTCCTAAATCACCTTTTCTACTTGTAGGATGCTAGGGGCAGAGATAGGAAGCCGGTTTCCCTCCTGGCCTTGTGGTGCCACCTTACTGCTGATAAAACTGTATTTTTTTAATGCTTATTTATTTTGAGAGAGAGACAGAGAGAGCACGAGCAGGAGAGGGGGACAGAGAAAGAGAGAGAATCCAAAGCAGCCTGTGCCGTCAGCACAGAGCCCGACGCGGGGCTTGATCTCATGAACCTTGAGATCATGAACTGAGCCGAGATCAAGAGTCGGACGCTCAACCCAATGAGTCACCCAGGTGCCCCTGGACAGCTTTTTTATTAGCTGAAATGCCACACGTGCCCAGATCGGGTGCCATGCCCCGGAGGTTCTCTGGGGCCTTTCCATCCTGTGAGTCTGTGCCATGAGTCTGAGACTCACTCCATCTGTGAGTCTGAGGCTGAGCGCAAACTATCGTGGAAGCCGCATGAAGGTGAAGGCTACAACTGTGTGAGAGGAAGGTGCGTCCCCATGCTGATCTAAGGCAGCATTTTGTCCAGATCAGAAGGCGCTGACTACTGGGTCTCACGGACGGATGAGGAGGACTCTTGTCCCCTAACTGGCCACCGGGGCCATTGTCTTCTGACACAGCCTGGCCAGGAGCCCTGCCATCTGCAGAAGGGAGTTCACACCTTCTGCAATTTTCATGTGAGTGTATCCAATTTCCTGAAAAACAAAGCAAACGTAAATCTGGTTAATACATGAGGGAGCACTTTATGTTTTATTTTTAACTTGAACTAATAGTTTACTTAAACTCAATGCAATGAACTCACACTCCAGCTGGGAAATAAACTCTAAGTCATAACAGGTTACGTTTAAAGCTCAGTTTATTTTTTTCTAAGAGGATGTTGAGATATTTCCTTGTAAGATACTTTTTTTTTTTTAACTAAAAAAATTTTTTAAGTGTTTATTTACTCTTGAAGGAGAGAGATGGAACGTGAACAGGGGAGGGGCAGAGAGAGAGGGAGACACAGAAT